GTCAAAGTAGTGAGCATGTCTCGCCCAGTCAGGCTTCGGCACTGTGGCACCTGACAGGTGGTTGTCCCCTGGCTTTTCACAGAGAGGTCTGTGGGGAACCGCCATGAGGCTGCAGTACCACTATGCCAAGCCTGCGGCTGCCTCAGGAGGTTGGGCTCATTACTGACATTATGAAGCAGTGGAACGAAACAGAGCAGACTAACAAACAGACACACTGACAGTCATGGGGTGTGTGTGTGTGTGTGTGTGTGTGTGTGTGTGTGTGTGTGTGTGCGCGCATTGATGGACAGACGGACGGACGCTCTAAACAATCTGCTCACTAACGCGAGGCAACACAATGACCTGCTCGTTTGTCGGCTTAACTGGAACGCCAATACAGTATCGACTGAAGTGTCAGCCAAGGCGAGGCCTTCATTAACCTGCCATCTGTCTTTCACCCCGGGCTCTGTGTGTGTGCGTGTGTGTGTGTGTGTGCAGGCGCACAGAAGTCTGTTTCTAACCTCATCTGTCTAAACGTGATCATGATGGAGGCCAGAGAACAGGAAGAACGGCTGTTTTGTTTCATCTTCATCTTGTACCAGCAGCAGCGTTCACATCGAAGGTGGGGTTTTACAAACTGTAGCTTGTGGACCAAATCTGGCCTTCCAGCAAAAAAAGTCTGGCCACAAAAGCTGAAGTTTTCCCATTTTATAGTTTTGCATTAAAACTTGCATAATTCTTCAGAAATGTTCTGTAAATAATAGGTTTGTGTAAAACAATGTTTTTCCATAAGTGAAATGCTGAGAATTAGGGATGGCAAAGATGAATATTTGAACTGTTACATTTTTTTTTTTTTAAAGAATAAAATATTTCATGTGACTATGGGTTTGTCTTTAAAAACAAAGAGCCACTGTTTTCCTCGCTTTTACCGGCACCTGGAAATATGACGATAACTAGGTCCATACATCATTTTACTACAGTGCCAAATACAAACAGCAGAAACATGCAGCCATCAAACAGACAGCTGAGTACACCCAGCCTTTGCACACTACTCAGTGTTCTTACACATAATGTGCACTTTCAGCTGCAGATAAAACAACCAGCTCTTCCTCTTTCTCTTCCTTTTTTCATTTTTTATTTATGCACACTCAAACTGGTCAGTGATGGTATTTTTAAGAACCTTTTTCAAACTGACAATGCTGCTCACATTTTTAATTCATTTAAATTAAATTGTAAACAAGAAAAAACATTTCACTACAGATATAATTAAAAACTGAATTTTGAAGTTTGAGAAAAAAAAATACACGATGTTTTAAATGTAGTGATTCTTCTAATTTTGTCTCTTATTGGCTAAGTGTATTTATCAAACTGATCCTATGACGGCCACGTTACACTGCACTAATGTAAAAGAATGAAGTTGTATGCTAACTACAAAGGGTAAGTTCATCTTTAATGTTATAGAAATATCTCCAAAAGATGGTGGTTTTTGGTATGAGAACGTACATTTTAATGTAACCAAGCGTCCTGTATCATAAACACATTTCTACAAACCAAACAGCTGGAAAATCAGGAGGCTTCCCTGTACCAACATGGCAGCTGCACTCATGCATAAGAACCAAACCAACAAACAGGCAGCGCATATCACACTGTTGCTCTTTGTCATGTTATGGACTGACAGTAGTTTTGGGTCTCCTTTTCCAGCTGCATAGCGGTAAGATGGAAATTGGAAAGAGTAGTCCCAGTAAACAGCTGGAACAGACTCTGCTCTTTCTGGCTTACTGCTCTGCATTGAGGGCTCTGCTCTGGGGCTCGCTGGCTCATCGGCAGCAGCGTCACACACATCTTCAGGGACCCGTCATAGCAGGATAATGGAGAGCTTCCTCCATAGGGTCAGTCTGGTCCCATTGCGGCTCTGTGGTCCCACAGTCTCTGAACACATCAGGGCAACCATTCAGGATCATTTGAATGACCCCCCCCCAATCCCTCCTGGCTCCGCACACACCTTGTTAAATCCCACTTTGTTTGTGTCCCTCGTCCTCTGACAGTGAAGGAATTGACAAATGGCCATTATTATGGAAAGAAGGTTACTTTTATACACGGCTTGTGGCGCTGAGGGGAGGCCGCTGCTGCCTGCTCCATCACTGTCAGGGAAACTAATGATAAGATATCATAAGACAGGACGGCCGTTTTAAGATGGAGTGGCCTCCCACCATGTTTTCATCAGCCGCTGTCTGTCTGCGCTCAGCATTCATCTTGATTCTGCATCCATTCGCACTTATTTTGCTTTACACCTGCAAAAACACATCAAACACTGGGAGATTCTGTAGATTTATAAGCAGAAGGATCCGCTTATATGTTTGAAGTGAATAATGATGATAAAAGTGTGGTTTTTAATCTTAGTTTCTGTACAACTTCGCTGTGCTGTGTTTGTACATCCAACTGAGACAGATTGAGAGGCAGCGTCCATATGCTGAGGATGTGCGCAACACAGTGAAAGTCAAATCAAACAGATCCGATTCAAAACAAAGTCTGAGACAAACTGCACGAGATTTCAGTAACAGCAGAAACTTTTCTCTCTGTATCACCTGTGCACTGATCAAATGTGGATTACATCCTGGACGTGCAGTATTTAAAGGAGTTTTGGACTAATAGTAGTTTAATCACAGTAGACACACTGTAAAGTACACGCAGTTACAGTAAGCATTCACATGTATAACTTTATTTGGGGGGGACTGGGTAGGTGGAACCCATAGTATTAGAGTTATTATACAAACATGTATGTTGTGATATTTGTATATGGATTCACAAAATGCCCACATATTGCATCATGCATAGGCTGCTTTAATATTGTTGACACTGGGCTCACAGGTTGCACTGGACCATGTACATTATGTGCATGGCATGTTGGTCTTTGTGTTGCTGCTAACAGAGGGGCAGTGGAGGTGCATGTGCCCGTCCTGGTCTCAGTGAATCCACTGTGCTAAAAACACCCGACGTGTCTGAGCGCAGCACAGTGTTTTACCTGTAGTAGCCTACACCTGTGAGTGGTCAGCTGTGCACTGAGGCTACAGAATGCCCCAAGCCTTTGGCACATGCCCTAGACCCAAACTCACAGCTGTTGCGGTCACTGTGGCTGGTTGACATATAGACTGACATGGACTACTGTACCTACCGCATAACGCGCCGTCTGTCAGTTTGTCTGGGTTTATGTTCTGTCTTACAGTTCATCCTTTGGCTGTGTACTGTACCCCTGTTAGTGGAGTTTGGTACAGCTGCACTAGCTGTTGTGTTAGGTTGTATAACACTATTACTTAAAGTGCCGGCGATGGCCACCTTGAATGGACTGTAATATAATATCTCCTCTGAAATCAAAGTGAAAACACAAATATCTTGTGTTGCAACACACAATGTAATAAAAAATATTAAAACGGATATTGTAAAAATCTTCCATTAATTGAATTAAAAATGGTGAGTGGGAGTGAAAGTGGGCTAAACCTCACATGTTGGTGCGAGTAAACCTGGCTGGGCCTCGCTGTGGTAATGTGACTGTACTCTCTAAACTACACGTTCGTTAATATAAGTACAATATGTGTCATACAAAAGCACTTTTATTTAGCTTTAATTTGTCCAATAAACATTCTGAGAGTGAAAGACAGTGCGTCAGACTCTGGTCCTGGTCACAGCGTTCGGACACCGAGCTTCACTGACAGACTGAAGACGAGAAGCTGAAGAGGAATTAGAAAGTTTTGATTGGAGTGAAACTGTCAATGATAAGCTGATAGTCTGGAGCCGTGTTGCATTCAGGGCCTGTAAAGACGACAGACATCTCTGGCCTCGCCTCTGTGATGGACGGATTAGAGGCTCAAACAGTTTTCCTGCTGCAGTTCATTAAAGTTTCCTCAGGTTTATTTGCAGTGTGTGCTGGTTAAGCCCGGAAAAAACACTTCCAAACACGGAGACTCCGAGTTTTCACCGGATGGTTCCCAAACCCCAGTCCGTGGTCTGGTGTCTGTGTTTGAAGAGGATTTTTATTTTAATGACTGCACGCATATGGAAACAGGACAGAGCTGCGCTGCTTTTAAATCAAAGTTAATATATTAAAAAAAAAAAAAAAAAAGCCATGCATTAATCCTTTGATAATTGAATCCTTATTTATTAGGCAGCTTTTATTTGTTTAATCGCAATTGAAGGAAATGAAGTTCTGCTGTAAATGTATGCACAGACAAAGATGAAATAGAAGCTGATGTTCTTTGATGGGGGAAAAAACGTGTTGACATGAAGTTTACAAGTAGACAAAGACTGGGCTGGAGTTACGGTTCATTCACCCACATGCATACATGTCATAGTTGGATTATATGGAGTCCCTAACTGTGTAATGAACCCAGTGTGTGACTGAATACTTACACACTTTTCCCCTTAATTCTTAGCAAATTTAAATATTGATCAATTCCTCTACATCACTTATTCTGTCAAGTCAGTCCCACCTCATGGCGAGAGGCCAACACCTAGACAGTGCTAACCACTGCACCGTTGTGCCGCCCCAAAGATTTCTTTTCCATTTTTCCAATGAAACATTTCCTTTATTGCTTGTATGTATGTTAATAAAGCTTTATTCATACAGCACTTGTTCAATGAGACTGGACAGGGTCAGTGGAAAAAGTCATGTCTCTGTTTGCCCATCACACCTTTTGTGCCCAAATTTTAAAACATCAGACTCCAATCAAACGGTTAATGAGATTTATTTCCAGGAGCCTGATATGGATATTAACCAGCAGGTAACACAGCTGCGCTGTCCCCCTTTAATGCAGGGTAGAAAAGCAGTGCTGACACATTTCTCATGAGACAATAAAAATAACATGGAAACACAGAAAACAACTAATTTGACCAGAACTAATGTTTGTGTCCTTTTCAAGACTTTTCCAGGACTCTCAGACGTCCTGTGAAAGGCACAAATGAAATGTGAAGTCTACGTGTATGTTTAAAGTGTGTACTGTGTTTAATAGTTTTTGAGCCTTCTCATCCAAAACCTCCTGTTGCTTGTTAAAGACCCATGTTACAGCTGAGTCTAACAGCGTCTCTTCCTCGGACTGCGCTGTGTAAAGACCGTCATTTCTTTTTGGCCTACACCCCATTCTGTCTTTATTATTGCATAACAGAGGAGTAAATACAGCAGATTCATCCTCTCTAATGACTTCCTCGCCGGCCGCCTGTCCCTCGACACCTTGCTTCGGTTTGACTAATGCCCTGCATCCTGGTGAGTCCGAGCTGAAACACTGGGGAGGATGCAGCGATGTGGCACGATGACAACAGCAGCAAGACAAAGGTGATGCAGAGGTCACAGGAGGATTGTACAAGGAGTGTCTTGTGCATCAGAAACATTAAGAATGTAATGTGCTATTACTCTATGGGCTGCCAGCTGCCTTCCTCCGGGCTCGGCTGATAATAGAGCAGGGCTTTAGGACTCGTCTGACAGCGAACACATCACCACCGACAAGGGCCCTCGACACACCGCCGCCTTAATACCAACCGTGCCCGCCGCTCCTTGGGCAAAAATTGACATCGTCTGGAGAGCAAAGCAATCAGCCGACCCGGTATTACTGAGCATTTATGTCTGAGCCGAGCCCCGCACAGCAAATCTTGACCTTAAAGAAGCCTGTTATTCCATTTTTCTTCCAGACAACGCAGTAACTCCCTGTAAGAGCGGCAGTCGGTGGGGATTTGCTGCTGGTGGTCTGTGGGTTTAATTCACTGATTCACCAATCTGTTTCCTCCTAATACCACCGGGGATGAGAGCCCGACGATGGCAGCAGCACAGAAAGAAAAACATGAGGACAAACTCTGGCGTGTTGGTATACAGAGCTGTAAATACTCTGGAGATCAGCACAGGTAAAGGTGAGTCAACTGCAGCGACACAAGCCAGAAACACTTGCTAACTTATCAGATTTAGCAGCTGCCAGGTTGAATCTCTGCAGGGGGAAGTGAAACAGTGATTTTGTTCAACACCAGCAGACAAAAGGAGACCGCGGGCTGAACCCGGAGGAGTCGAGGCCCACAGCACAAACACAGGAACACGAATGTGCTTCTGAGGGCAGATGCTCTTCTTTTTAAAGAAACCTATCTTGACAAGAGCAGTGCTAACAAGCTGCTGTTTGGCAGCTGTTGTCAGCAAAGGTGCAGACAGCAAATAAAGAACACAAGTCAAAGTAGTCATTCTGCAGAAGGCCACATTTCCAGAATAACGCAGGTTACATCACATTACTGGATTAAAATTGTGTTCATCACTGTAATGTTGCAGCTGGTGAAGGTGGATCTGGTTTTATTCAGTTCAGATCCTGCTGAGGAGTTTGTGGATCAATAAAATATGAACCAATACTAATTCATCTGTTGATGATATTTTGTTTCAGTACTCTGACTCTGAACACTACTGTAGCAGTCAGATACTGTACTTTTTGCAGCACTATGTATTTTCCACTGAAATGTAATGGAGTACAAGTATCTTAAGATGGAAGTACTCAAGTACAAATATCTCAAAACTGTACTTAAATACAATACTTGAGTAAATGTACTGAGTTACTTTTCACCGCTGAGTGTGCTGCAGTCTTGCAAAGCGTGTTGCATTATGGGTAGCTTGTAGGCTAGTGAGTGCAGCTGCTGAGTAAGTGTACTTGCTTAGCATGCTACCATTAGCTGCGAGGCTGATGGGGCTGTCATTAGATAGACTATCAAACATACAACAGGTGTTTTTATGCAACTCTGACTTCTGGACTTCCAGGTTGTCTGCTGTGAGACAGAGGACAGACCAACATAAGCAGACAGGACGTCAGGTCTGATCTGACAGTTATTAGTTATTTGCTGCATTTCCCTAAAGTTGTAGATTTTCTATTTTCTGTGCCGCCTCTGTGAGGTGGCTCTGTGGACGACTGTTTTGGCAGGTTTGTTGGTCCACCTGAAGCATCTCAGCGCTACTGGGTGGACTGAGATATAGTTTGGTTCTTTAATGGTGTCCAGATTTGCCTAAGGCCCGTAGGTCTGGGTAGCAGTGCCTGTAGGTACTGTGTTACTGGTTCTGTGGTTGAATTCAGTGCTTGCTATAGTTTGGGGCTGTTTGTGTTGCACATGACAGATTAATGTCCTAAATCAAACATCACCATATGATTTGTATGTAACACGAGTGGCAGTGGAGTCGCTGCTTACTTGTTTAGTTTATGTGAGTTAAATATGTTGTGACTTAAAAATGGTGGGTACAGACTTTCTCATGTTTTCTCTTTCTTCTACTCCTGTTGGTCACGTTCCCTCATTTCCCCCTTCTTTGTGTCTGGTCCCATCATTATTTTCTTGTTGTCCCCTCTTTTACAGCTGGTTTGATCTAAAATCCTACACCCTGAATACCAGGTTTTCACTTGATATTGTTGCTGAATCCACCTGAACCTCTGTTCTTGGCCTTGTGGCCTTTTCCTCTGGTGTCTGAGGAGAACTGTAAATGAGAGAATGAAGAACATCAGTTTTTTTTAGTTAGACGCTGTGAGTTTTTGGCCTGATGTCTCCTCCGGTGGTGGTTCAACACTGCATCCTGGGATCTGGCCGTCAGTAAACACCTCCGGGGTCGACCCAAACGCTGAGTTAACGTCCTCTCTGGCATCATTTGAGCCATTAGAGCTGTGGACTCAGCCTTCGCTCAGAGGAGACGGCCTCATTTCCTCCTCCATCCTCCTCCCGGGAACCCGGCGGGCAGTTTAAGTGATTTCTCTCTGAGCATCCCCATAAGTGCAGCAGATATCCCTCTTTAAAGCCTGTGAATTGTAAAACATGACACTCTGTGATGCTTCTTTTTTTCTCCAGCGCCTCTTTTTAAAAAGCTCAGCTATCACCGCCCGCCATCCGAGGAGATGAGCTAATTAAATTGGTACTTTTTACAAGTCTTACTCAATAAATCTGAATAAATTAACAAGGCATTACTAAGACTGCTACATTAAATTTGCATAGTGCATTTAATGAATATGCAACTGCGAGTGGAAAGGTCTGCCACTGTGAACCCCGGTGAATTAGCATAACTACTTCCAGCATGTTTCTTAAATAATGCTCTCATTTGCACATCACTGAGTTGGCTAATTCTGGCCTCGGCGAGGGCGGCCCGTAATTAAAGAATCCCACTTTAATTTTTAATGAAGTTTATGTTACATAAATCCTGACAGTAATGAGGGGGACGTGGAAACAAAAAGGCTGCTAATAATTAAATTCACAAACCAGTTTGAGGGATAATAACTCCTGAGGAGGAATTACATGACTAATTATTAATTAAATATTCATAGTATCATACAGCAGAGAGCGGCGGCGACACCGGCGCAGCCCAGATGCCAAGCAGTTTTTATCTGCGCAGGACTTGAGGAGCTCATAACGGCACTCCAGATTGTCATTAATTATAAGGACCCCTAAAACAAAAACAGGCTGAGATGTCAGTGGAGGCCTGGTACAGAGAGAACACTGTGCCAGACCTCTGGTTAGATCTTATCTGACTCCATCATTTAGTCTGGAACAGAGTCTGCTTTTTTTTTCCTTCAGTATCTCTCGTATGATAGTTCCTCGGTTGACCTGGAAGTCCAAGGGGCCATGAGCAAGTATACATGACACCATCCTTCATGAAGCCTTTTGTGGACCGGCATGCTCCTTTATCAGACATCACCTGTTGACATCACCTGTTTTAAATGGAATCATCATTTCACTGTTTTACCTCATTATTGGCCCTGAAATGCAGCTTATTTCTGAAATGTGTTGCAGCACCAGCATCAAAGTGAGTGTTTATTTTTAACACAGAATAAAGTTGATGAGGTATCGCATCAAGTAATGTGCTGCTGTGTTGTTTTCAATGTAATTCAGGACAGATGATTTACATATCAATGTTTTCAGTCCTGTTCTGGGTGGAGAGCATCAGGATAATAATAATCACCTTTATTGGCCAAGTATGTTACACACAAGGAATTTGTTTTCGGTACAGAACCGAGGCAGCCATCTGTGTCGCTAACTCAACTGATGGCTCTAACCATCAGGGGCAACTTGGGGGTTCAGTGTCTTACCTAAAGACACTTTGACACATGGGCTGCAGGCACCGAGATTTGAACCTGAGACTCTCCGGTTGGGAAACGACTGCTCTACCCATTGAACCACAGTCGCCCCTATCAGGAACTGTGTGGTTCTTACTCTCCGCAGAGCCCCCTCCCATCATCATCACCATCATCAGAACAACAACAACAGGACGCATGGTTCACAGGTCAGTCACTGGAAGAACAGCTGGAAGCAGCAGTCACATGTTAGGGCGTGTGACTGTATCTGCTGTGGTCTCAGCTCCAGGACAGATTAACATCTTACAGCTCTGTGTGAAACCAACACGTCACGCCCAGATGCAGGGTGTGTGTGCAGGGCCTCCTTTGAGGATGCACACAGCCTCGACCACCTTGACCGGTAAGGTAGGGTAGCCTGGCAGGCGAAACCCAGGGCAAACAGCAGCCTGTCAGATGCACCACTGCTGTAGTAGAACTGGCTGCTGGGAGTTCACTAATAACTGAAGACAGCAGGTCAACATTTTTATGTCTCTGTCAGCAATAGCTGTTGCTTGAGGCTTTTTGGGGGAGGTAGTTATCCATCTGTCCACCTGGCACTTTCTTGTGAACACCTTGAGGCACAAGTATCCATTTGGGCTCAACTGATTAGATTTTGGCGTTCAAAGGTCAAGTGGGGAGGATGAGTGTCTCCATTCTCATGTAAGGGTTCGTCTATTCAGATCAATTCAATTCAGTTTTATTTGTATAGCGCCAATTCACAACAAAAGTCACCTCAGAACACTTTATATAATAAGGTCTAGATCTTACTGTTATTATAAAGGAAAAACCCAACAAACCCCCCTGAGCAGCACTTGGTGACAGTGGGGAGGAAAAACTCATTTTAACAGAAGAAACCTCCGACAGACACCAGCTCTTGGTGGGCGGCCTTCTGCCTCGACTGGACTGGTTGGGGTGAATGGATAGAGAAGAGAGAAAAGAAAAGCAACAGGACACAACAAACAAAACACAGGGCAGGTTGATGTGGCCGGTGACTGAGGAGCATGTGACACTGACTGAGCATCTGAGGACAAACTCCAGTTCATCATCGATTTTGTTTTGAATGTCTCCGGTGTTTGCTGAGACAGTGCTGTAGGACTGGGAGGAAACCAGAGTTTGATCAGTTCAACTGGTTTACTGGTGAGTTGACACAAACATCAACCATTCTGTGAAACTGTGCTCATATGACCTCACACCATATTTCTATTGGAGTTGAGCCTCTCCTGAGAATTATGATGGAAAGAGGAGAAGGAATAGTTACATCCACAAGAAACATCTGCTTCACTTGCACTACTGTCCGTTCTGGTGCTGCCGTGGTCCAACTCACTTCGCTTCAGTCTGGGTTGTCCCGCTTCAGCAACAGACTCAAAGTAGACTCCTCATATGTGAGCAGAGCTGGTGACAAAGAGCGAATGTCACAGACTAAAGAAACGTCAGAGCAACACAACCAGTCATTACAACAGGTAAA